CTTAGAATTAAAGATGAAACACCTTGAGCTGAACACATGGAAAAATTTCACATTTGGCTTTCTGTTGTTTAGTATCTCATATGGAGTGAGCGCGAACCTCTTGTTGAGATAGGACCTGTTCTGTGTAAAACAAGCAGCCGAAATAGCGTCAGCCCAAAAATAAAGAGGTAAGGAAGCGAAACTTAGCATAGTTCGGGCAGCTTCACACAAAGATCGGTTTCGTCTTTCGACTATTCCGTTCTGTTGCGGTGTGTAGGGAGCTGAAAAATTGTGACTAATTCCCTTTTCTGCAAGAAACTCTTCAAACTCTCTGTTCTTGAATTCGAGACCATTGTCTCTTCTGATGTTGCGAACAACCTTCTTGAGCTGTACTTCAATTTGCTTGATAAACACTTTCAACTTTTGAGTCGCTTCAGATTTGAGCTTTAGAAAGAACACCCATGTAAATCGTGAAAAGTCATCAACAATAATAAGAATATACTTGCTACCACCGATGCTTTCGATAGATGAAGGACCACACAAATCGATATGAAGTAATTCGAGTGGTTCAACAACTTTTGTATTGATTATAGATGGGTGACTTTGACGACTCTGCTTCCCCATTTCGCATGCAGCACACAAATGATCTCTGTCGAACTTGAGCAATGGAAGACCCCTAACATGACCTCCAGTGACAAGTCGGTTGATATCTTTAAAATTGAGATGAGATAATCTTCGGTGCCACAACCAGCTTTCGTCGGAATGAGCTTTTGACAACAAGCATATAGTTGGGTTTCCTTTGATGGGTTTAAGGTTTAATGGAAACATTTCACCCTTTCGCTCTGACTTGAGAATCACTTTCTTTGTCTTTTTCTCTATGATTTCAGAACCTTCATCATCGAACGAGACTTTGAGACCTGTACCTCCAACAAGCTGAGATACACTAATGAGGTTGTGTTGGACTCCTTCCACATAAGTTACCTTCCTTATAGTAAAGTCACCATTTGTTATCATTCCGTATCCCTTTATGGTGCCGAAAGAATTATTTCCAAACTTGACGTTGCCACCATTTGCTAGAGATCTGTATTCCCTAAGCTCTTCTTTCCTCCCTGTCATGTGACGTGAGTAGCCACTATCGATGTACCATTCTTCGTCGAACTGCTCGTCACTTATAACCTGCAAAAATTAGACAGATTTAGGAACCCAAAGTTTCTTGGGTCCACGTGAGCTTTGCATGGGAACGGGAACAGTAAGAGAGACATCAACAAGATAAGTTCGTTTTATAAGAGTTGTTTCATCTTTCCTTTTAATGCTAAAAACTTTCATTTTATTAGGATTGGGTGTGTTCGGTTTGGACTCTGGTTTGGATTCATTGACCTTCTGCTTTCCCTTTTGTTCAGCTGACGAGTGAGAAGAATTAGAATGAGAGGGTTTGGATTGAGAGGATTTCCTGGCTGGAGACTCTAGGTGACCCTTTTGCTTTTGATCATTGGAGGGACTGACCTTAGAGTTTTGTTCTCTTTTGACTTCAGAACCGAACCTTTGCGTTCGGTTGGTGCTGTCTTTGGAACCGAACCTTTGGTTTCGGTTGAAGTCTTTTTCAGAACCGAACCTTTGCCTTCGGTTGATATCTTCTTGTGAACCGAACCTTGGCTTTCGGTTTTTGTGACTTTCAAGCTTTCCTACAGGATTGTTTTCATACTTCAGATTCTTGTCTTGGTGTGAGAAATATGCATTCTGGGAATGCCAAAATTGTTTCCTTTCAGAAAGGTTCTTCCTGTATCTATTGTTCCTTTCTCTCTTCCTATTCCTCATCTGTGTAGGTTGATGATGAACATTTGCTTTCGTTTTCGGTGTCTCCTTGGCTGGTTCCTTTTGAACTGCAGGAGTTTTACTTTGAGCCGAGGGAGTAGATGTAGCGTGTTCTTTTGCCGAACGTTCATCCTCCTGAGGAATATCTTTTGTACCACTGGTGCTTGGCTTATCGAAATTATCCATCTTATTCAAGGGTTCAGGTATGTCTCTTCCTTTGCTCTTCCAGGAAGTTCTTTCAGATAAACCAATGGTTTCGTCTGCATTATCAATTGGAGCTTCCCAGAAGTACTCATCGCAGCCATCAGCATTGTCTTCATTTACAATGGCTACAAGTTCACCTGTTTGATGTTCGGTTACTCTTGTTACCTTGTATACTTGATTCGGAGTGGTCCTGACCTTTTGATACATAACTGCTTTCTCAACTAATATTGGGGACTTTTGATGAGACAAACGAGCGAACTCTACTGAATTTTCAGAAATAAGATTCTTGTGGTTTTCAGGTTCGTTTTTAATGAATTCTGAGCAGTCAACCGTGTCCTCTACAGAAATTTCACTCATGTTTTCGTCTTCGTTAAGCTCAGATGCATTTTCAACATCAATTTTGTTTTCTGAGCTTACGTTGATGTTTAAAGAGTCAAATTTTTGCATGGTTTCGGTTCTCAGTTTATGTCTGTCATTTTCATCCAAAAGATTTTTAAGCATGTCCTTGTGATCTTTGGATTTAATGAAGGACTCAATTTTGTCCAGTCCATACATGTAGGTCGGATTGACATCATCAGACGATATCACAGTCTCACAATTGTAGGCTTCGGCATCGATTTCATCTGCCTTAAACTCTAGGAAGGGCAAAATCATGCGGTGGATCTTTTGGCCTATTTCACAATCCAAGTGAAGCTGAGTAATATTAGGGTATAAACGTTTAGCAATTAAACAAAAAAACATTCCGCTGTTTTAACAATTTTAAATTGTCTCTTTGCAAATAAATGTTTCGTCTCTAACTTTAACTAATTCCGACTCCTTTAACTCGATCCACATTCTCCGCTCCTCACTTTTCGATGCCACCCTGCTCAATTGATCAGTTAGGTTAGAATTGGTGACTCGAGTTTGAGTTAAACTGCTATCTAGATGAGAAATTCTTGTATTAACATTTTTTAGTTCTTTCTCATATGAGGTTGATGGTACTTTGGATGAAACAAAAACAGATTGTACCTTCTTTATCAGTTCATCGAGCTTACTGAATTGTTGGCTAAGTGGTTTTGCCGCAAAACACATATCTTCCTGTACCTTCGGTCCATTGCTTCCTCCATCGGTGTTGTATCCCCTCATTTGAGATACGTCAGTCACCATGAAGCATCTTCCTCCACTGCTTTCCTCCTTAGCCACATAAGCCTTTCCATGGGTAGGCTTCCTCACTTCATCGTCTTCTGAGTCGGTAGACCAAACTTCCGTGCTACCGAACTCGTCACCTTTAATCGAACCCTGCACAATAAGAGCATTAATAGAAGGGTTAGCGGCAGACTTCTTCTTTCTCAACTCGTCCAATCTTTTCTACAGCACAGCTTCCTCATCATTTCCATCATCTTTTTCGGCCATCTTCTTAAGGACACAGTCGTTGGCATAGTGGTTTTTCCCACCACAGTAGAAACAGCTTACTCCGGAATCGCCATCCACCTTCGGTTCCTTCTTGTGCTCCTCAGCCTTCGGTTCATTGTTCACCTTTTCAGAGCTGTAACTCCCCTGCCAGTTTCGGTTTTTGTTGCTGGGGAATCTCTTTTTTATGAACCTCTTGGGATTGGACACCATCATGGCATAATCCTCAGACGTGAGATCATATTCCTCCAGGTTGAGGTCTTCATCCTCCATCACAGCTTTACTTTTAGATAGGAGGGCCAACGAACCAAGACTAGTAACGACATTCTTTTCTTGCACCACAATCTTCTATTGGGACATAAGAATACCCACCAGTTTCGCCAAAGAGTATGATTTAAACTGCTCATGGGCTTTGACTGTGGAAACTACTGCTCTCCATTCAGACCTCAATCCGTTCAAGAAAGTAACCTTCTGTTCGATAAGCTTCCTTTCAATATCGTGTTTAATCATCTTGCTGAGAAGATGATTAAAACGATCAAACGTCTGGGTCACCGTTTCTTCGGCTCCTTGCCTGAATTCTCCAAACTCAGATAAAAGCAAAGTTTGAATAGAATGTTCAAGATCCTCGTCTGTAGAATACAGTTCACGAAGTCTATCCCAAACTTCCTTTGCCGTCGTGCATGAGCTAACCAACCTGAATGTGTCGGACTGAAGGGCGAATCTGATCAACCTTAATGCCTTGATATTGCACTGGAATTTATCCTTTTCATCTTGTACAATATCCTTCACGTCCTTTAGCAGATCATTGTACTCCTTTTGTGTCTTGATGATTCTGGACGATGCAGAATGAGAAAACGGTCCATTGGTGATGGCTTCCCATATGAGATACCCATTATCCTCCGATCCAATCACGTAGTCTTCAAAGTGATGCGCCCATACTTCATAGTCATGGGTGTATAAGATTGGAATCTTTGTCGTCGAACCGATGCTGTTGGAAATGTTAATAAGGTTTGATTGCGTCGCGTCCATTATGATCGTAAAAACCTGTTCAAAAATCAGACTTGTAATAAAGCAGATTAGGGCAAAACAATAAATATCAAGATACGTCAATAAAGAGATGACGGCTCAATAAATATTGATGATTGCGGAAAAACCCTAATGGAAATCTTTTTCACAGAAAAGATGTGTATCGATTACACAGTCTCCTGCTCTGATACCAATTGTTGAGATTAAACTAGCCTTTAATCTATAAAGATCGATTAGATCTTGAACAAGTATATAAACATAAACAATATGAACGCAATAAAAAGAATAAGTCAAGATGGAATCAAACGTGTCGAATGATTAAATAAAATCCTCAGAAGAGCTCGATTAAGAACATCAACTGTACAGGATTGGAAGGTTACATGAACGATCAAAGAAACCTTTTATCGTCCAGATGTATCTCTATTTTCAGATCTCTAAAAACCTTAACCTAATATGCATGCAAGCGTAAACTTATATACAAAACATAAAAGGTTCACGGTTGGACAGGCCCAAACTGGAATACTAAAAGGCTTATGCATAACGAGCCCAAAAGACGCAATATTCAAAAATAATCTCTAGCCCAACAACACATGAAAGAAAAAACAGGAAAAAACTATAAAAGAAAACAACTTAAAAACAAATGGGATATTATGAAAAAAGAATGGAAGCTTTATGACCGTTTAATGAGGATTGAAATTGGAATTAGTGGGACAAGAAGTTTAATAGACGCCTCGCCTGAGTGGTCGGAGGAGAAAATAAAGGTATGATTTACTATTTTTTAAAATTATTTTAAAATTATGATTGCATAGTGAAATCAATGAAATAAAAATTATTTGTGTGTCTTGCAGGAGAATAAAGAATATGCCAAATTTAGGGACACATATTTGAGCATATTTGACATGAAATACGCTATTTTGTTTCGGGATTCTGTTGCTGTTGGAGATAAGACTATGACTCCGTTACAATTTCAAAACACCGAAGAGAATATGGAGGGCGAAGGAGATAGTGATCAAATCAATTTAGATGACGATGAGACTCTTTTTCCTAGTTTCCCTGAAAGTAGTTCAAGTAAAAGGAAGAAGTCTAAGAATGTTTCCAACAGTCGTTCAACCAAGAGTAAAACTTCAATCTACGAGGAAAAAGTAGATGCTTTATTAGATGCCATATCAACAAAAAGTACACAAACTTTTCCTCAAAATAATCTCTCCCCAACAATAGCAGATTGCATGACCGTTGTCATCAAGTTTCCCGGTTTCGTTGAAGGTTCCCAAGAGTATTCACAAGCATTGCTTGTCTTCACCAAAAAACAAAATCGTGAAGCTTTTATGTTTCCAACTAGTGAGGATGCAAAGATGGAGTTTCTTAAGTTACTAATGAAATAATGATTTCTGATTTGACATCATGTCTTATTGTTTTATGTTTGACGTTATGTGTTATGTTTTTATGTGTTAGCCGGTGACATTATGTAACCGAGATGTTATATTATGTGTTATTGTTTGTCGTTATGTGATCGATAATTTTATAGTATGTGTTATTATTTGTCGATATGTGATCGATAATTTTATATTATGTGTTATTGTTTGACAATATTTTTTTGTATGTAGGATGGATAGTGATGATTCTAATTCTTCTGACAATAATGAGGAATGTTGGGTGGAAGAGGATAGAGAATTTGAAATGTTAAGTGGGTTAGCTCTGAAAGGGATAATACTAGCTTGTAAGATACGTAGGCCATATCACACTTCAGCCCGCACCGGTCACATATTTATTAATGAAGTATTAAATGGTCATCCTAGACGGTGTTACGAGATGTTTAGACTGCATGTACCGGTTTTTAGACAATTATGCATAGATCTTGCTACAAATTACGGACTTCAACAAACACGGAATATATCTGTTCAGGAGTCGGTAGGAATATTCTTGATGGCTTTGTCCCATGGATGTAGCAATAGATTTGTGCAAGAATTTTTTAATCATTTTGGGGAAACGATTCATAGGCATTTCCATACAGTTTTGGCAGCTGTTTTTAAGATGAGTGCCGACATCATCAGGCCAGCCGCCAACTATAATGATGAAGTTCCCGAATATACATTAAACAACCCTCGATATTATCCAATGTTCAAGGTATTATCTAGTGTTCAATTACCTCACCAAATGATTTATTTATAATATCTTTTTGTATTTGTAGGATTGCATTGGCGCTATAGATGGGACACACGTTAGGGCATCCGTTCGACAACATGAGGAAGCGAAATACGTTGGTCGAAAGGGATATGCTACACAAAATATAATGGTTGTTTGTGATTTTAACATGTGTTTCACATTTGTGTGGGCCGGATGGGAAGGGACTGCATATGACACAAGAATTTTTAATGAAGCATTACAGAGACCGGATCTTCATTTTCCGTTTCCAACGGGTGGTTAGTATAAATTTTTATTAACACGAGTTTTATGTTTTTAATACTTGTTTGAAACGAATAACAAATGTTTGTTTTTTTTACAGATAAATATTATGTTGTTGATGCTAGATACCAAAATACCAGAGGGTATCTTGCTCCATATAAAGGAACTAATATTCGTTATCATTTACCGGATTTTCGACGTGGACATACTGCTGCTATACGTGAACCTCGTGGACCGAAAGAGAAATTTAACTTTTACCATTCATCATTGCGAAATATCATTGAACGGACTTTTGGAGTATGGAAAGCTAGGTGGACGTTATTAAGAGATATGCATGTCAATTACAAGTACGAGCACCAAGTGAGTATTGTGATTGCATCGATGGCAATCCATAACTATATTAGAAAGACCGGTAGGTTTGATGAAGCATTTAATAGGGCACAACAAGAATCCTACATTCCTGCACACAATCGCACTAGTAGTGAAGGTGACGAAGAAGGTCCAAATACACATCGTATGAGTAATGATAGCTCGTATATGGCAGCGATACGAGATATTGTTGCGCACGATATAATGGAATTTCGGAGATGAATGTAATATGTCGTAACATATGATATTTTTTTTATTAATTATTTAGAATTTATATTCTATGTAATTTTAATATTATAATGGTAAAAATATCTTTAAAAATATATATATTATATACTTTTAAAAAAACGTTTAAAAAATGTTTAATATGAAGACATGTACTTTTTGGTCATTTTACAGGTAAAAGCTAAGCAAACACTTTTTAAAAACAACTTATTGACTTTTTAGCTTTTACCACCTTAAAAGCTAATCCAAACACATTTTTAAAACTGCTTTTAGAAAAAAGCAATAAGCTAATAAGCAATTTTCTAAAATAGCACTTTTAAGTATAAAAAGCATTCCCAAACACCCCCTAAGTGTAGTCGGTATAGAATATTAATACAGACTTTAAATTAGGCTAAAAGATGGCGGAAATAAATTAGATTTTCATATAAAGTTATAGACTGCTGAAATTATATATATACGAAATATTCGGGTTGTCACACTATAGTTGTCACACCCCCAAACCGGAACGACGGAAACGTTCGGGGGCGGATGACTTCATGTGGTAACGTAACAAATGAATACATAGTAAAGAAAGCAATACAACCATCATATATATAATTGAAAGTTTACGTTGTTAAAAGGCACATGTTCAAAACCAATTACAATATGATGCCAAAAATATGAATTTAAAATGGCGCCGCAACATTCCTTCTTCAAAAAGTTGTTTGGTACCTGCAATTACTGAGTCCATGGGACATACAAGTAGTTTTGAAAGAGTACATCAGCATTTAAGCTAGTGAGTTTCATAAGTATTAAATGATAATGTTTGTATGAACTAAAATGAAATGGTTTGTTTTTTTTGTTAGTTCCTAGAAAATCCTATATTTCCTACTGGTATAAATGTAGCCTTAAATCAAGACCAATGTTTGTTTCTAGAAAGTTGATGTTTTCCCATCTATGGTGTAGTGGTTTAGAAGTTCCAAACTTGTATCAACATTAGGCTTTTCATGCCTAAAGTAGTTAATTTATCTACGTATAAAATCCCCAATACGTCTGAAAAACCCCGTAAATCAATGTGTTTTTAATAATCCATGTGAGTTTTATTACCATGCTATTGACTAGAAATGCCTATACACAACGTTCTTCAAGCGTTGGAATGTTCTGACGTTTTGTCACCCCAAATGGTGTACTGTAGCTAACAGTCAGGGCGCGGGGTTGTCTATAGATCTATACACAAACACCATGCTCCCCCTCCAAGGGATTTTGGTATATAATACAGGACTTCAAATGTGTACTCGAGCGTACGTGAAGTTTAATGTCTCACAAAACTTAGCATAAAACTAATTTACATGTGAAAATGTTCGTATGTTCTTGTATATAAAAGTAACTTCTTGAAATAGTATTTCTAATATGTAAAAGTTCATGATGTTCTCGTAAAACTATACCTATTATAGTTTTCTAAAAGTGTGTCTCGTTTGTATAGTAATCCTTAGTGAAGTGCTCACTTATTATGAAAAGTATAATTTTTGTAGTGCCAAAGATGGACACATATACATACAGTATAAGCAGAGTGTTTGATTTAGATAAATAGATAAATCATTTCTTATTTCAAAAGATAAGATGTTATCGTGGTATATTTTGCATACAAAAGTTTCCCTATAATAGTTATAAATCACATATGATTCCATTGATAAAAAGTGTATAATGAAACTTTATATAAGACACGGTAATAATCGTGTGCTTTACTTGTATTCCCCCCCTTAAAAGCATATGAAAGCATTTATAAAACATTTAAAGTGTGGATTATAGGGGTATGAACTCACTTGAAAGATCGAAGAAGGCAAGATGAAAACCGAGCAGAAATTCGACTCGAGAAAGCGGATTTTCTCGGGATTCTCGGGAATCTCAGGAGCACAAACGACCTTCGGGACTTGAGCAAGGAAACCAGGACTTCAGGATAGCACGTGCACGGAAAATGATGCAAAAACGAAAGAATGTTAAGAAAAATTGAGCCCTTTCTTCGGAACCCTCGCATCTCTTTTATATGGGGTGGGAACCGCCTCGGTACGCTGGGCGTACGCGGGTACGCTGGGCGTACTCGTGCGTCATGCGTGACCGCTTCCTTGACTGCCTTGGACCTTCGGATGGGACGGGGCATAGCCTCGTATAGGGGCAACGTGGACGATCCGAGGCCTAGGCCTCGAGTACGGTGGGCGTATGAGTGTACGCTGGGCGTAACTCGGATCGCCCTGATGACTCACCCTTCGGATAATACCGAAATTAAATATAAAAATTATATTTTTATTATTTATTAAACTTCAAAAATTCATATCTTCATCATACGGACTCCGCTTTCGACGTTCTTTATATCCACGCGTAGGTGAGACTATGCTCTACAACTTTCGTTTAGATTCCATCGACAAATTTTGAAATTATTTTTATTATTTATTTTTAAAAAGGTCACGCTAAGAAAATTTTGTTTAGAAATTCATAACTTCATTATTTGACGTCTGTTTTTTCCGGACTTTTTACCGTTGAAAACCATTGTCGAGACCTTTGATTCTCATTTAGGTCATTCCGGCTAAAAGTCGCTCGATCTCCGTTTCGACTTTTTAACTGTCCGTTGTTAAGCCGAATTTGGAAAATTGATAACTTCCTTATACGAAGTCAGATTTGGGCATTCTTTTTATGTATGATCACGGTTTAATGACATCTAACATAATAGGTAATTAATTAGAGACTCTTGGACATTTTATTTTCGAAGTTAATTTCATTATAACAAAAGTGGTTACAATACTTGACATTTTAGATCGTTACATAGAGTTGAAATATCGGGTTGTCACATCATCCCCCTGTTAGAGGGAATTTCATCCCGGAATTTAAAGTAAGAAAGATACTTGTGAATCAGAGAAAAAGATGTGGGTACTTTTGTTTCATCTTATCTTCGCGTTCCCATGTGAATTCAGGTCCTCACTTGGCGTTCCAGCGAACTTTCATGATGGGTATGTGACTTTGTTTCGTTTGTTTGACCTCTCGGTCCATGATTTCTACCTGTTCTTCCATGAAGTTGAGGCTCTCGTTGATCTCGATCTCGTCGAGTGGGATAACAAGAGTCTCATTGGACAGACACTTTTACATGTTCGATACATGGAAGGTTGGATGTATGTTACTAAGTTCACGTGGTAGATTAAGTTTGTAAGCTACAGGGCCGATTCTGGTGAGAATCTCGAAAGGCCCTACGTATCTTGGATTCAACTTTCCATGCTTTCCAAAGCGTATTGATGAGATTAAACTTTCTTTTAATCTATGAAGATCGATTAGATCTTGAACAAGTAAGTAAACAAATGACAATATAAACACAATAAAAGAACAGAACAAGATTGAATCAAACGTGTCGAATGATTAAAACAAAATCCTCAGAAGAGCTCGATTAAGAACATCAACTGTAGAGGATTGGAAGGTTACAAGAACAATCAAAGAAACCTTTTATCGTCAAGAAAAATCGTTATACGCAGATCTCTGAAACCTTAACCTAATATGCATGCAAGCATTATATTATATACGCAACATAAAAGACTCTCGGTTGGACAGGCCCAAACCGGGATACAAAATAGCATAATTAGACGAGCCCAAAAGACGCAATCTATAAAGCCCAACAATCTCCCCCTTTGAATCAATTTGGAGCGAGACATTTACTAATTTCTTGGGCCAGCAGCCAAAACTGGTACCTTCTTCACGATACTAAACAGACACTTGGTGATTGAAAGAATGGTCTGTCTAAACCGGATGTACCAGTTAATCATATCTTCAAAATACTTGACATCATCGACCGAGTTCTCTTTACACCATTTGACAATGAACAGCACATGCTCCAAACAGGTTGTGGTGTAAAGATGTTTGATAGCTAAAGCGAAGAGACATTTCTATCCTTCCTCTCGAGTGAACATGACGGTGTTTCGTCTTGGATCAATCTTGCCCAGCAGCATTTGATTGTGATCACTGGCCGATCCCACAGGAGCAATTTTGGGTTTCTTCTTGAAGACTGTGGCGACCTCCTGATCCATAAGGGCAACCTCCATGATGTAGCAGATTAACATCCTTTTGACATGATCTAGAATGGGACCATATTCAGCTTCATTGGTCAAAAGGATATTATACAGGACGATCCAATCATGAGGATTTAGATTCGGTAGATCTGCCAGAGAGATAGGATGAGCAGATTTTGCAGATCCCCGAATCAGTTTGAACCGAACGTTTATAAAACGTCCTTCAGTATATGGTTTTAGCACCCGAACGTTTACGATCTTCTGGGCGCTCCATGTAAGGAATTGTGGACGAGCCGCCTTCAGATAGAAGTCAATGAGCTCCCTGTCAAGCTCAGCGTTCGGGTGAGGGACTTCAAAAATATTAGAGAAGACGTGGAAGATGAACGCCTTTCGAGTCACGGCATATCGAACTGCGAATCGACAGTGTTGCTGCAGTCGAACGATATAACCGGCTCGAGCCATAATATGCTGGGTGTTTCAATGGCCTCTTTGATCAAGCGTTCCCTGGTCCAGGCAGGGAAGAGAGTCTTTCGGCTCTCAAGGAGATCGTGGGCTTCTTTTTGCTTGCGTTCGGCTTCGGCAGCCTCACGCGCCACACGACTGGCATCTTCACCAACATTGCGACTGTTCTTTCGTTTTAAAATGTCGGCAATAGTCTCCTTGTCGCCTTCTTCATCTTCGTCCTCAGCTATAATTTTGCCTTTGTTCTTCACACCCGAACCTAAAGATTGATGAGTTGAAATGGTTCAGTTGTGTGAGTAGCTTTGGAGGAAGGAGGTGGTTTTGAACTTGTCTTCTCATCTCCCCCTTGTTTCGGAATGGACACAAAACTTGGGAGGCCTTCGACTTTGTTGAGTAGATCGATGGCTGGAGAGAGCTTTTCAGCAAGGGATCGCCTCACCGAAAAGTTTAAAATTGGATCGTGTGCTTCCAGAATGTTTGAGATACACAGCGTGGACATCCGAAACACAC